AATAATAATAATAATAATAATAATAATAATTTATACCCCGCCCCTCTTCCAGGCAATCAGGGAGGTTTACAATATTAAAATCCAATAGATTACAACATGCATAAAACCTAAGAATCCCCAAACCTACCCACCCCTTAAAAAAAGTATTAAACACATAATATATTAAAACATGTTAACCAATATTAAAACAGCTCGAACAGCTCAGGCAGCAGCCTATAACAAACAAACAGCAGCGGCGGTTCTAACCAAAGTGTGGAAGAAAAGGGGCACTCCCAGAGCCATGAATCTTTACTCTTACGGGTGAAGACATTTTTATTCAAGAAGGCATTTGGTTTTTCATAACTTGTAGCAGATGAAGCGGGGGGGGGGGGGGGTGTCACTGCTCTCATTTTATCATAGAACCATAGAATCAGAGTTGTAAGAGACCACAAGGGCCATCCATGTATTTTTACATGTATTTTTAAAACTGTTTTTAACTTACATTTTTAACTTGTGGTTTTTTAAATAGTTTAGTTTAACGGTTTTCACTTTATTATAGAACTATCTATTATAGAACTTTTTTATTATTTGTTTTTAAGATTATATACTGCCTTAACTCCCATGCTGGGAGAAAGGTGGGATAATAAATAAATAAATAAATAACATGATTACTTCCCTAGAAAAGTTATAACAAATATTCTAAGCACTATTACAGGGTAGAAAGGTCAACTGAATACAATGGGATTTAAATCTCTTGGTCTGCACTGTAGTTATGCATTGAGGTATAAATTTCCATGGACTAGAATATAGAAATTCTTTCATCGTATCCATAACTTTGGTTCTTCCCATGCCAATCCTCTGTGTTAAATTTGTTATGCCTGCTGTGGAGAACCTAATCCCAGAGGAATGAGAGAAGCCTACCTGTTTCTGGCTGTGGGGACTCCTTGGATCTGTCTCTGTCCCCCCCCCAAAGTGGACTTTGAAAGTGTCCAAAGAAAAAGAAAAAGGTATGGCTGAAGCAAGGCATAAGGTCTTGTTTTATTATCAGGCCCCTGGCTTTCCGTTTGTTTGTCAGCTTCTTGGGTAAAATGGAGATGTTTTCCCTTCAGCAGTTTTTTCTATTCTGTGATTCTAGCAGTTTGTACGGATAATTGGAAAGGCCATTCTGTATTTTGTATAATGTTTATACAAATTGTTTCATTCCAGTTATTACAGTTTGCAAGGCCCAGGATATGTTCAGTTGAAGACCCATATCTGAAGCTGAACAGGTTGGGGATCTACCTAACAGGAAAGAACTTGCTCATGTAAGTACCTACAAAGTGGTGTAGTTGACACATGTAACCAGTTAAATAAACTGTTAGTGGCTTTGACTTATAGGATATCATTGATACATAATCAATCACATGAAGCAGTTTCTTAATTTCTCTATGCAAGTTGTCTCAGTGGTGATTTTGTATCTTAAATTTTAGGTCATTGCACAAATATGCTGCAGATTGATGTGACTCTCTCCATGAAGCTTCTCAGCCGGTGTAACTTTAGCTAGGAGTAAGAATAATGAAGTTCGAAGAGATGGAGATTCTGGAGAAGGAACTGCAGATACTGAAGATGGAAATAGATCCCAAAAAAGAAATGGCAGACAATGAAGAACCTATGGAAATAGAATCATAGAGTTGGAAGAGACCCCAAGGGCAATCCAAACCAACCCTATTGCCATGCAGGAAGACACAATCAAAGCACTCCCTGTGACAGATGACCATCCATCCTGTTTAAAAATAATAGACTCTAGAGAAGAAATTATGAATAACAAAGAAGCAATGGAAGCAGACTATTACTTTTTTTAGATTTAAACAAAAAACACATCATGGTTGTTAGTGTCAATTGTGATATGTAAAGTTATTATGTGTATGCTTTTTTATAAAACACTTTGTGGTAGAAATAAACAGGCTGACCAGAGATCTTAATAGTGTTGTTTGGCTGACTGGACAAGTGTTGCAGCAGAAGGCTTGGGAGAAAGCCCTTCAGGGAATGAGGACACAGCCAAGTGAGGGGATTGTCTGGGATAAGGGGTCCATACACCTATCTATTATTATTATTAGATCTATTAGGTCTAACAAAATACCACTATTGGGCAACCAATGCAGCTATGCTTGGCTTTCCAAGAGGGTTGATTAAATGCCTATCATCTTCATTGCTAAATGGCATTTGTTGAAATTGACAAGCATATAGAAAATAATTGGACAAGGAACTAAGAACCAATCATAGTTTTGTTTTGATTCATAATATGTCTCCCTTGTTGTTATTGTTGTGCCTTCAAGTCATTTCCAATTTATGGTGACCCTAAGGCGAACATCACTGGGTTTTCTGGGGCTGAGAAGGTGTCACTCACCCAAGGTCACCCAGTGGGTTCCCATGCCAAGAGCAGGGAATCAAACCCTGATCTCCAGCATTTTAGTCCAATTCTCAAACCACTATACCACACTGGCTCCCTCCTGCCCTTAAAAAAATATATGGAGGAAGAATGTGCTATCCAATCCTACAGGGATGTGACCCTGGAGGGAAAGAATCCTACTCATGCAGCATTACAGCAGAATTCCAACGCCCTGCATGATACCTAAAATGAAAGGATGACCATATTCAGGGAGAAGAGGCATAGTTCAGAGACTGAGCTCATGCTCTGCCTGATGGAGATCATGGATTCAGTCCTTGGCAGTGATGCAGTGGTAAATGTTGAAGTGTTAGTGCTCCTTCTGACCATTTTTTTACAGCCAGACCCAAGGAAAATCCAAAAAGGCAGGCTCTGTCTTGATCCATATCAACCAACCAGTCCTTTCAGAGTTAATTTTCACCAAGGATGGGTCTTCTGCAAAGTTAAAGGATCTTCATTGCTCATTCAAGAAAGAGTCACCCCAAGCACAGGATTGAAATTCAAAATGACTTTGACAGATTGGACAGCTGAGCCCAAACTAACAAAATAAATTTCAACAGAGGTAAATGTATGGTACTACATTTAGACAGGATAAATGAAATGTACAGATATAGGATGGGTGGAAAGCATGACATATGAACAAAATCTAGGGTTTTAGTAGACCACATACTATATGGGAGTCAACAGTGTGATGTGGCATCCAGAAAAACCACTGCAGCTCAAGGCTACTTCAACAAGAATATAGTGCCCAGATCAAGGGAATTACTGTAGTTTGTTGTTGTTGTTGTGTGCCTTCAAGTCGTTTCTGACTTATGGTGACTTTAAGGTGAACCTATAATGGAGTTTTCTTGGCAAAATGTGTTCAGAGGGGAGTTGCCATTGCCTCTGAGTCTGAAAGAGGGTGACTTGCCCAAGGTCATCAATGGCTGAGCGACGATTCGAACTCTGGTCATAGCCCAACATCCAAACCACTATACCACACTGGCTCTCAAGTACTATAATAGTGTTACTAGTTTGCTTTGGTCAGACCTTTCTGTGCCTAGTTCTGGGCACCACAGTTCATGAAGGATACTGACAAGCTGAAATGTATTCAGAAGAGGGCAACAAAGATAGCGCAAGGCCAGGAAATCAAGCCTTATGAGAAACTGGGCATCTTTAGCTTGGAGAATATAAGACTGAGAAGTGATATGTAGTCAACTGTAAATATCTGAAGGGATATCATCTTGTTTTCTGCTTCTCTGGAAGCTACATCATGAACCAGTGGTTTCACAAAGAACAGATTCTAGCTAAACATTAGGAAAAACTTTTTGATTGTAAGAGCCATTCAACAGTGGAACTGACTGCCTCACAGGGAGGTCGGCTCACCTTTGGAGATTTTTAAACAGGCTGGATGGGAATCTTTCAGGAGTGCTTTAGTTGTGTATTCCTGCATAGCAAGGATTTGGGCAAAATAGTCCTGCATACCTTCCAGCTCTGATTCTATAAAATATTTTGCATGATAGCAGACTAGCTCATACCAAAACATCTGAGATTTTTTTTTGTCCCAGCTGCTATGAAGATTGCAGTGACGTAATCATTTTAGTGTTCCCGGAATAACTTCCCGGCCCAATGAAGGTGGTTGTTCACCTGTCTCCCCCTTGCTGCTAGTGTTTGTTGCCCCAATTTGGTTTTATATATTATTTTATGTGCTATTTTAACTCTGCTTTAGTTTAATTTAGTTTTAAGGGGTGGGAGGGTTAGGGATTGGTTGATGGAACGTTTTAATCTGTATCAGTTTTAACCTGTTGTACGCCGCCCCAGTTGCTGAAGCAGAGGGGCAGGTTAGAAATAAAATTTATTATTATTATTATTATTATTATTATTATTATTATTATTATTATTATTATTATTATTATTTTGAATAGGACTCTGAAAGACCAGGCTCAGCCATGGAAACCCAATGGATGACTTTGGGCAAGGCATTCTCAGCTTAAGAGGATAGCAATAGCAGCCCCCCTTCCGAATAAATCTTGTCAAGAAAAAGCTAAGTTGGAGTCAACTGTAAGGTACATAACAAAATAATAACCCTCATTGCAACAGAGTTTCATAGGATATTGATTTATTCAGAGAAAGTTCCATTGCCTTCCACTAAATATAGGCTACAGCAAAGGTATTCCCCAGTAGTCTTCTTTCAAAGCATTAACCAGGCCTGACTCTGCTTAGCTTCCCAGCTAGGACAAGGCATCGTATCTTCAAGGTATTTAGGCTGGCTACTGCTGCTCTAGAATCAGCTAATACATAAATATTTACAATGGCAGAACCATTGTGCTATGAATCCATCCTACATTTCACTGTCTCCCTCCTCCTGGCAATCAAGTTCCACATGTTGGCAAATCACGAGAAGTCACTTATAGTTTCAAAGACACAAAGAAAATCCCACCAAAATTCCTTTGTGTCACTGCAGCTACATAAAAAAGAGAATCTCAAGCTCAGCTTGCACCTGGAAACTCTAGTTGCATTGTTTTTTGTGGGTTTCTCAGGCTGTGTGGCCATGTTCTAGAAGAATTTCTTTTTGATGTTTCGCCAGCATCTGTGGCTGGCACCTTCAGAGAATACTGGAATGAAGGAGAGTGGGTATATATAAACTGTGAGACCCTGGGTAGGGAGGAGTGATTCCCATGTAAACTGTGTATTGTTCTGTTGTTGATGGCAGGGCCTCAGGGTGGAAGGATATGCGAAAGAGAAACGTCAGAAAGAAACTCTTCTAGAACATGGCCGCACAGCCCGAAAAACCCACACAAAATTATGGATACCATCCATGAAAGCCTTCGACTTCTAGTTGCATTGTTTCCACTCCCATATTTAGAAACAGAAGTGATGATAATAGAGTAGGGGTGAGAAACTTTAGTGGATCTATAGCCAATTTGGCTAAACAGACTGCCCAACAATGTGGAAAAAAATTAAAATAGCCAAGAGTCCAAGTAAGGTTTCAAAAATTGGTATTCTGTTATATTAAATAGTGCAGAGGAGCCTTGTGGCCAATTTAAAAGATGAACCACTGCTCCTAAAGATTTCTAGGAAATAAATCTCCTTTTGTCTTTTCTCTTTTTCTTTTCAGGAAAAAAAAGGTGATCTAGAGATTAGGGGAAACATGCAGCTCTATGGCTGCGCTCTGCCCACTCCACAAACATTTTTCTTGTAGCTTATAAAAGACCTGAGTCTTAGGGGTTGAAAATATAAGCCAGGAGCAACATTATTATTATTGCTGTTGCTGTTGATTTATATAGCACCAATGTACATGGCACTTTACAAGTAAAACAACCATAAACAGTGGTCCTGCAAAGGCGTGCCATCTAAAAATAATGAAAAATACTGAAACTGATAGAAAATAAATGTTTATCTCCTTGTTGACAGACTGATTTCTATCAAATGAAAAAAAATATTGCAGGTGAGCAAGAACAGATTTAATATGCAACCCATTGCTTCATTAAGGGCCTCAACAGACTGCCCGAAATAATTCAGCTTGAGGCCACGTTAAATGCCCTGGCTCAGTGCTAGGGAATCATGGGAACTGTGGTTTATTGTGTCACCAGAGCTCTCTGACAGAGAAGGCTCAATGTCTCAGAAAAAAACTACAATTCCCATGACGCCCTAGCACTGAGCCAAGGCAGTTAACGTGGCCTCAAGCTGGATTATTTCTGGCAGTCTATTCAGGCCCTAAGAGGTCTTAATTTCCAAATTTAATTTCCATTTTTGTTTGGAGCAGGAAAATAAATGCATGATGCTAACACTGTATTGGGACCCTTGCCCATAAACACTCCTTTTTTTAAATAGCCTTGTGACTATTTAAAGACTATTTGCTTTTGCTCCTCAGTGGCCACTTACTCAGTCCCTCTGATCCCTTTGATCCCAATGAAGTTCCCCTTCACCCTTAAAACTGCCCTCATCCATTGCTGAGGAGTCATTTTTGCCCTCAAGAGAAAATGAAAGGCCCACATTCTTCTTAAAGTTCTGCTTCATTTCTATTGTGATCCACTATGCATGGTGAAAGGGTGCTTGTGCCCAGCTTATGGAAAAATTATTTTTTTGGACTACAGCTCCCAGGATCTCAGCATGCAATTATCCATGCTAGCTGAGGGATTGTGGAAATGGAAATTAAAAAAAAACTGTCCAAGCAACTCTTCCCCACTATACCTCCCCTCAAACACATGTCACTATGAATAGCTGGAGAAGAAAGATACAGAAATCACTGTTCATCACTATTTTGAAAAATTATTATTCTCACATGCCTCTCATACACCAAGAACCAACAGATTCCTATCCACACAAGTGGATAAGTTTTTGTAATAGTCCAGCATTACCTCTTTTCAGCCATTCACTGGTCCCAAGTAGGTACATCTAGAAGAAGAATCCATTTGTGTCATTTACCCATTTCAAATTTCCTAAAACAGTTTGGGCACACTCACTCATTTTGTAGTTCCTTTGCATTCAGAGAAAATTTCCAGACGACAAAAAAGAATGTAACTGCTCTCTTGCTGGAACTGTAACTCCCAGAGGGGTTTCACATTATTCTTAACTTCTTTTTGGCTGAAAAGAACTCATCAGTTAAGACTTCTTCTTTCTCTCCATGTCTTTGTTACCCATCCAGTGTTATTGGGTAAAAGGATATAATGACTTCTTCACCACCTCAAGCTCCCAGCATCAAGCCAAAGATCTTGAAGGTAGCCACTGTCCTCAGGAATTGTGTTTCTGCCGCTTCCAGAAGCGTTTGACATCTGAGTGACCAGCGGGGGTCACCACCATGAGACGCTTAGAAGGGTTCTCAAAAACAAGCACCCCAAGTTCCCTTGCATGATCACGCAGCAGCTCAAAATCCACCTGGGACAGGAACTGGTTGTAGAGAACACCTGGGAAAGAAGAGAATAAAAACACAGTTGAGGGTGGTGGAGGAGGAAAACTCAAGAGGAAGTGAGGCAGGAAGAAGAAAAGTACACAAGCATAGATGAGCATGAGAAGGGGAAAGGCAAGGCTCAAGACAGCATGGAGAGGACCAAGAATATGAGAGATGGGATATAAAAC